AAAACGGGAAATCTGCAATGACGTTGGTTTGCCCTGGAATCAGTGTTTACGCGGGGATTACTGTTTCTGATGTGTAAATATCCCGCTGATGTGAAATCTTCCCAAGGCCAGCGTCCGCAGTAGATGAGGTGTATTCTCACCGCGTGATGTGTGTTAACCCCGAGACAAGTAGTAGCATTACCAGTACCTTTGTAGCCACAAATAGGGCCGGGGCGTTCTTATGGCCCTGAGCTCTGAACATCAGCGCTCGCCCCTAGCTTTGCCATGCTCAGTCCGCAAACACTGAAGCCCAAACCCTTTCTAGGATCCAGGATACCTTCAGTTCTAGGAATTCATATGGGGGCTTCGGGATACATAGGCTTTAGGGATTTTATCCCCATGATGGAGAATCAACTGGAAGCGGATATGGAAGATTTTTTGTGTTTTTTTTTGTTTTTCGTTTTCGGTGGTTTATGAGGCTTCCAAAAATTCGGGATCCTGGGATCCCGTTTGTAGCATTTTGGGCTCTATGTTGTCCCCTCCATGACCTGCCCATGTGCGACCACCTACTGCCTCCCCCAGCATATACCCATGCATTCTTGTATGTTGACGTAGTTTCCCCCTTGCCTGATGATGCTTGCTCACTAGAACACCCTGAACCCTGTATATGCTCGCGGCCCCGCCCCAAAATCCAATGTCTATGCTTACAACATGTCTGTCTGTTTTCCTTTAGATGGATCTTGGTGAGGGTCCGGCACACAAATTAAATGCTCACAAATCAGTCACGGCTCCAGTCGATCCATTAAAATTAGCACCTACAAATCTTCACAAGCAATCAGAGTTAGGTGAAGCAGTTGTTTCGATGGGATTCCAGGATTCTGGTCGTATGACTTTTTCCGAAGTTTAAGTAAAGGCAGGATGGAACATTCCCAGGAACTCCTCTTTCAGATTGAGTTTGAAACAACAGAAAATGCCGCATTCCTGGATTTCCAGTTTGGGGTAAGAATTTTGGGTTATATGAGTTAGGTCAATTTCCCTATAGTAATAGCTCCTTCGTATAGATTACTAGGGCCTTAATATACTTACAACAGTACCTTGTGGTACCCCTTACTGGGTGGGGGAGTGATCCAATACATCAGTTCCTGGGATAACTAATTTCGTATGCAGAACTCCTGGATTGCTGCATTTCCAGATTTGGATAGGGATCTAGGGTTTAGGGTTTCAGGGGCTGGGATTTAGGGTTTGGGGTCTGGGGAAGAAGGGTTTTGGATTTAGGGATGAATTCTTGATTAAGTGTGAAAGTCATAGAAGGTCCTTGCTTCTTGAACTTGGGGTTCCTTGAAATGCTAAGTAGACATAAGACAAAACGCCTGGATTCGTGGATTTCCAGTTTTCATGTGTTGCGTACTGATTTGGTTTGTACGAACTCCTTTTGAGGCTTGATCAGAAGTCAAGGCGATAATCGTTGAGTCGTTCCATAGGATCGTATCTTGATGAAGTCCTTGCAAAGTTTACTTCCAAATGATGCACAAATATTGGATTCCTGGATTTTCAGTTTTGCATGGCATTTTGGTTGATGTGAGCTCCTTGTTAGACTAAGCAAGTCCTTGATTCTTGGACGTGGGTTTTTCCATGAGGTTCTGCTCCATATCATCTCCTGGTGAATTTTTTCCAAAAGCGTTCTGGGTTCAGTCATGGTGCTTGGGGTAGGGATTTGGGTTCTGAACTCCTTGAAGAATAGTTCCAAAATCGTATTCCCGGCTACTCATTGAGTTCAAGTTTGGGATACGGTTCTGGTTTGTATTGATTCCTTCCAAAATTTGATTGGGAAAACTGGCTTTCCAGGCCTGCATAGGAATTGGCTTGATGTGATTTCTTTTCGCTTGCGGAGAAATGATACAAAATTCCTGGATTTCTGGATTTCCTGTTTTTGTCATTTGGATAGAGATGGGGTGAATATGAATTCCTTTCGAACTTATATAGTTAGAAATGATGCAGAAATGCTGGATTCCTGGATTTCCGGCTTTCGACCGCTGCTGGTTTGTTTGAATTTCTGTTAAACTTTCGAAGACATGATACGGAATCCTGACTTCCTGGATAGCCCAAAACCCGAAACCAACAAACTAGACAAAGCCAAAGGCCCTCATCTGAAAGTTTGTGTTTGTTGGGGTGTTCCTCTTTCTGTGTTTCCTTAGGCGTTGGGCTAGACAGCTGTGGGCCCCAAAGATTGGGACAGTCCGGCTTTCTTGCTTTCTCAGTCCTGAAACTTTGGGAAATTAAGGCAGTTTTCTTGCACACATGTAATACTGTCCCAACGTTTTCGTGCGCTGGGGATCCAAAAATTTGGGACAGTGCAGCACTTTTGTTGGCTTTGCAACAGTGCTGCGCTGTCCCACAAAAAGCACTTTCCAACAGCAAAAATATGGTACTGTGTCACTGGTGGTGGTGGGGCCCCACCCAGGACAGGCCAGCATTTTTGCTCAGTCAGCCCGCAAAGTTAGGATTTAGGGAAAATGCTGTACTATCCCACCAAACTAGCAAACAAAATCTTCGGGCCCCTCGGTCGCTACGGGGCCTAAGAGGAGTCAAAAGATTGCTTTATCACTTTTGCTGTCTGGGATTTGTTTCTTTGCGACAGTGCAACACGTTTGCCGTTTTTCGTGCAAAAATGCTATACTGTCCCAAGAAACAACCAGTCCCAGTAGCACTAAAGCGATGACACGCGGATGCTCATGATGCTCTTGCAAGCCTCCAAAGTTAACGAAGAGGCTGGTCTTCTCCATGTGCTAAAACTGTATAATCCTAACACTGAAGGTTCATTGGGCTTAAGCAAAAACATTAAACCCTTAGGTAAGCCCTGGTGCAACAGGTTTACCCACTACCTGCGGAAGGATGGATTGACAGGCCGGATCAAGACTTTGTGGCATAGATCGGCAAGGAGCCTTCCGCCTAACCCCTGACCCTGCAATTCGGGGTGCTTGCCACATATCGTTGTTGTGGTAATATGTTGATGTATTGTATGTCCGTGCTTAAGAGAGCCACCGTTCTTAAGTGTCTAGAATGTAGCCCAGTTTTTTTTCGTGCTGCCCGGGAATCCTGATCAAAGCCGTGCTCCTTTACATGCCTTTGATAACTGTTATCAACTGTGCAGTTCTCCGGGCCCCTGATAAGGCTTAAGAAGCTCTAGCAGGCCTTCGTAATCCCAATAATCCATGATAAGGCCTTGTGTTTAGACAGCAGCCCTATACTCTTGACGCGGAAGCACCCGAGCTGTCCCTCCTAGATACTACCCCCAAACAAACCAAACTGCACAATATCTTCAAATTGTAGCCCCTGTCACATCTATAGTTCGCTAAAAAAACCTTACTCAAGTGCGTGGGGCACCCACAAGAGATGACTCTCACATGGTCATGGAATGTCCTTATGTCATTGGGATTTCCGCCGCACAACGTAAGGTTCACTGAAGGAGAATCATCCCGAGCCAGTCTTGTTGCAACAGCTTGAGCCTCTGCCTCTGAAGCGTCTTCCACTTAACCGGCAAACGCAACACATGAACCCTAATCCTAATCTATGTGTCAACCTTTTTGCAAGCTAAGAGGCACTCCAGACCCCAAACCTGCCAGAGTTTGCTTCCTCAACCTGATGTAGGCGCCCCAAAGAATTGAGAATGAGCAATACGATGGCCGTGTATAACCATTGTATAGGGTACTTCAAAAAGATCTTGGTATTAAACCCTAAACCCCAAAACCCTAAACCCTAAACCCCAAATGTCCTGTTGCAGGCCCAGGTGGTCGGCGCCAAAGATTGGATGATCTGCCTCCGATGCGTTTCTCGCATATGCCATGAGCAAGTTCCAGGGGTATTTGGGGGTTCCCCAAAATTAGGGGTACCTTTTTGGGGGTCCCTATAATAAGGACTACAGTATATTGGGGTCTATATTGGGGTTCCCCTATTTTGGGAAAGCACCATTTGTTGCACAACTGTGTTGGGTGTAGTGTAAAGTGGTTGGGGGAATGTACCTCTTGCAGCTCAAGCTGCAGCAGGTTGATGGTAGACAGTAGGTTTTTCGAGTCCAAAGTTGCGGGTTTAGGGTTTAGCGTATATGGTGTGCGGGTTGGGCTGGAGCTAGATTTTTTGGGTTTGATTGAGTTTTGCCTTTTTCAGCGCGATCCGTAATTCCAATTTCATCCTTCTTTCGCCTGACACTTAAGTTATCTTTCCCTCCCTTTCCCTGATTTCCTTTTCCCGTGAGATGCTGAGATAGCATGTTCGGAATGATTTCATGTTTGGGGTTACGTCTCTTTCTTCGCGGCTGGATGAACTTGTTTCTGTTCGGGCCACGAAGCCAACAAGGCAATAAAGAGGGCCTTCAAGCATGCGTCTGAAACTTTTTAGGCGGCGGCCGCCACAACAGCTTAAAAAAGGGGCCCTTCTTTAAAGGAGGTGCAATGATATCAGTAATCAACACCATTATGACGCTGACTTTCGAGTGGGTCAAAACTTTTCACCCTCCAACTATAAATACCAGAGCTCAAACTTTCCGCCAGACCCAAACCTGAAGCCTCAAACGTCAAATTCTCTGGCTAAAAGCTAAATAGGCTAAATGTGAAAGTTCAAACGCTTAACTTCAGACTTTAATGCCGAAACCTGAAACCCAATCCTTTACCCTGAATCCTAAACATTAATGCAAGGATTTGGGTAACCCAACCCCCAAAATTAAGATCCTATAGCCATCATATGATTGTCATAGGGTCCAATTTTGGGGGTTCAGGTTACCCAAATCCTTTCAAGTAAGTTTAAATAGTAGTTTCCATTTTCTTTTCCATTATCCCTATACCCTATGTAATAAACTGGGCTACAAAAATCCTTTTATTGAACCCTAAACCTTGGGTTGGGCCCCCACCCAATAATAGTGGTATGCTAGGAATATATAAGGACCTGAATATAATTACCATTATCTCGTGTGGTCACTATTAGTGGGTGGGGGCCCAACCCAACCTAAACCCTAAACCCT